ATCACATATATCACTAGTGCATTTTCACGTAAACATGTAAATCATGTAGCATATAAGAATATATATCCATTTTTATATACTACTACACACATAATAATCACATAACATTTTAAAAGTTACTTCTTACCATAGTAACTCCATCATTGGCTCATCGCAAGCCAATGTTTGTTCAAGAACCTAATTACAAAATAAATTGCTCTCACCTTAGCCTTGCTTTGATTCAATCCTAATTCTTTGATTATTCCGGAACTTGTTTAGGCTCAATATCTACATAAATATTAGATTTCAAAACAATTATCAGAAGCCTAAACCTTAAACTTGATGTTAATAACTTAAGCCGGTTTAATGAACCAAATTTCCATTTTTTCTTTAGGGGGAATCGATACCCCCCAGAGAGTAATTGTTTCCTCTGCACAATCTGGAATTTTCGTTCAAGCCCAGAAAGCACTGTTCATTGCACGAAAATTCACTATTTCCACTTCAAATCTTCATGTTTCATTCACTTTTCTATTCTTAACTCAAATATACATACTTAAACTAATTTATATCCATTTAAATCATTTTTATCTTCCATATCTCATTATGATTCTTAATTTTAAGGATCATACCAAATTTTCAACATATTCTAATTTCAATTCTATCACTTCATATCTCTTAATTAAGCTGATGACAAGTCAAATTTAATTTCAAATTCAACTTATCAACTCTATTTCAAGATTTCACTCAAAAACTTCAAATCTTTAATCTTCTCTAACTCCTTTATCTTTTGATTTTAAGATAACTTAAGCTTAGTTATCATCTAATGATCAAAACCCAACCTTTAATTCAACAAATAATCAACAAAATAGAAAACTCACCTTTGCCTAGCTTCCACGGTTAGAGAAGAAGAAATGAAGAAAAAGATGAAATGTTTTCATCTCCCCACGTTTTATCTCCTATTAAAGGGGATAAAAATATCTTTCCTTGTCAATTGACCATTTTGCCATTTAATTCCTTGAATAATTACTAACAACTTTCCGAAAATATCTCCACATAAATCATTGAACTATTGAACTATTCTACTTTTATCCCCAAATTCCAAAATTTTATAATTTAATCACTAACTCGTAATTTGGGATGTTACATTAGAAGCTTATTCTCCCCTCTTTAACCTACTTACCACCCTTGCTGACAAACTCGTAATTCCCATCAATTTATCCCGATAAGAACTACCATCATGAAACTTATTATATAATTTATCTTTCTCATCAGATTTCAAAGTTTGAACCATCGTCTTCCTCTTTATATCATCCTCAGCATACCCATACAACTTCTTCCCAATTGTTGTTATAACACCCTCAACCCGTACCCGACCCAGATACGAGTATGAGGTGTCACATTGACTTTTCAAACTTTGACTATTGAAGAAAAAATAAAGAAAATTTAAAAACTTTCATTAAAATAAAAGCTGTTTATTTACATAAATTGACCAAAATAACCAAAATCGATCAAAGCATATTCAAATCAATCAATTAGTACATGCCAACTATATTTAGATTAACCAAACACATTTAAATCATTATTTTCTGATCTGAAACTTTGTAAGGAAAATGCTGACCTGTCTTGCTCCTCTTAGCTTCTCACTTTGCTTTCTAGAACCTACGTGTGAAACACTCACACGCTAAGTCTATGACTTAGTGAGGCATTAAACTTATAAGAGAAACTCTAACTTCTTAACCATGCATGAACATATCATACTATGCTATCACACAAAACAATATAACATTACGTATAATCAAATATACACAGAAACATACACTCATCATTTACTTCATTAATCTTATTTCACTATCCATATTATTATCATTTATATGTGTTGATCATATCCTCTTGAACCTAACCTTTTTAACCAACATATATCACAAAAGCATATTCTTCACATATATATTTATTGTTATATCTTTGTCTAGCCCATGTACATTTCTGAGAACTGTAGATATGTGAGTCTATGGAGGTTGTGCACTATGCTATCACCACAGCTCGTAAGGGGTCCCACTAGGGGCTATGAGATTTGTCTCGAATGACCTATGTATTGTATTTTTCCCGAAGACCACTCCTTAAGAACGATATATATATTCCAGTGGATCAAATCTGTCTCAAAAGACCCTGTAAATGTTCTAAAGGATACATATATATCCCGAAGGACCACGTAGACCCTCAACTCTTGGCATGCCAACTATACCTCTAGCTCTCTTTACACATAACATGGGCATTAACAACATATCATGTCACATATTCATATAATCACATAGTTCACTTTCACCTGTCTCTTATCTCTTGTGACCATATAATCACATCACTTTGTATTATATTTCACATATTTATATCACATAGTTCATATCACTTGCATAGTTTCTCATAAACATATATATCATATCTTATTCTTATATAATCCTGCATATCATCTATGGTCATTCCCTTAATCTCTTATATTCATATATCATATATGCATATTATTCATTATATAAACATATATTCATACAAGTCATATCATACCTACAACAACATATAATTCATAACAAACACATGTTCATGTTCATGAATTTATGCATAACACTATAGGAAATAGACTTGTCACAAGTCTTATTTCCATTTTATATCATATACGATCTAATATGCACTCACCTTGGCCTCACTTGCTATCAATTACTCCTATGGCTTTCTTTCTCTTCTAGATCAATTCTAATCTTTCAATTATTCCGAAACTTTCTCTCGATCAATATACACAATCATATATTTATACTATCAGTATACAATCGATATACTATAATCTATCACTGCTTAGACTAAGAGAAAAAAGCTAATTTCATCTTTAATGAAGGCATGCATCGATGCACTACCGGTGCATCGGTACACAAATCCCATTCGATGTTTGTATTTTAAACGGGTGCATCGATGCACTCCTTATGCATTGATGTACTATTGGCATTCGATGTTCAATATTTGAGAGTGCATCGATACACATCAAGATGCATCGATGCACACAACCCAGAATTTACATTTTACGCACAATTCACTCTCTTTCAGCTTAACTCTTCATCTTTCACCTTCATTAATATTCATAACTTTCATATACATACTTAAACTCATTTCTACTCTATAATCACTTTTTTAAACTCAAAATTCTATCTTCCATATGAAATCCAAGAATCATACTAAATTTTCTACTTGTTCTAAATTCAATTGCATCACTTCATATCCCTTAATTAAGTTGACAAGTCAAATTTGTCTTCCAATATGAGTAATGAACTTTATTCCAAGATTTCATTCAAGAACTCAAAATCTTTAATCTCTCATATATCTTTCATCTTGTTGTTTAAGAACAAATTAAGCTTTCCTTAAGCTTAATTATCATCTAGTGATCATAACCCAACCTCTAAATCAACAAATAATCAAGAAATCATAAACTTACCTTTGAGCTTGGAGATACGGGAGGAAGAAGAAGAAGAAGAGAGTTTCCAGATAACTCTTTCTTTTCCCCGACGTGATTCATTCTTATAAAAGGGGAAAAATATATTTCTTATCAAATGACCAATTTGCCCTTTAATTCATTCAATAATTACCAAACGACCTTCGACTATATTTCCAATAAGCCATTAAACTATTAAACTATTTTACTTTTATCACCAAATTTAAAAATTCTCATTTTAGTCACTGACCCAGATTTCGGGATGTTACAGTTGTTTTCTAATACTTCACCACCCTAACCACCACTCTCCTCCTATCAATCAGCGCATTGTCAACCTTTGTCACAACTTCCATAAGATCTTCATGACGTTCAAAGTGAACGAAAGCAAATGTTGAGTCCCTATATTTCGGTCTCCTATTGGCTCTAGGAATAAACACCTTAGTAACCTTACCATGAAGCTTGAATATTTCCCACAAAACACCCCTACTAACTCTTCTACTCAGATTATCGACAAAAGCAGACTAAGGGGCTCTAGTAGTAGGAGAACCCAAAAAAGAATTTTCGCTCATATTTTTTCCTTCGTCGTTTGTAATCTCTTCGTTACTAGTTTAGGTTGCTGGACGAAGCAAAAAATCCGACAGGGAAAAACCAGAGACGGCAGCAGTGTTCTGGAAATTTTCGAGCTAGTGAACAGTAACCTCCTGATACTTTATCTGGGTATGTCGAAAATTCCGACAGGGTATGATCGGAAATACCTAGAAAAAGTGGGAAAGAAATCGGCGGAGTAACTGGTCGTACACGTGCTCTCACGCGCCGACGCGTGATGAAGGTGCAAAAACTTATGGCGGCGCGTGTAAATCAAACGTTGGGCGTTCGGTGGCCGGAATTTCCAGATTCGACGATCAGTGCACAGACAACCTCTTGGTGTTGGCGGTGACGAGAGAGAGGTTTTCAAAAGTTGCTGTGTATAAAAAATACTCGAACTTCAACTGTAGATCTGCACCCAATGAAGGGTTTTCTTGCAAAACTAATCTCGAATTTAGAATCGCAGTGCCGAGACGATCTTCCCTGTGAAAAACGGCGACAAACGGAGGTCAGAATGTGACGGTGGACGGTGGGCAGCGAACGACAGATATCTTCTCCTTGACTCACTGTTGTTGGCGACTAACAATCGAGCTCGGAAATTTTGTGCATAACATGGTAAAGACGAGCATGAATGAACATGTTTCTTTTAATGTTACAATTAGAGTATAATTTGATTCTGAATTGCAGCATCTTGTATTCACAATGTTTGAACGATGTACCTCTAGGAGTAATAATAATTCATTTATTATCGAGATTATTTGGTTTGTGTTTATTAATGTAACTAATAAGAAAATAACAAAAAAGAGTATATAATTATATTATAAATTGAAAACTAAAAAAATGGTACCATTATAATTAAATAATTTTACTAAAATAAATATATTTTTTAAAAATAGTATACTGTATATAATTATATTCATGAATATATAAAGCAAGCCAACCAAAATGAATTTTATGATCCATTTAATCGAATTTTGTTTGTTTGTGAATGTTTAAAAGCATCGTGGAGGAGGTGACATGGAAGGAGAATAGGAATGGTAAATATGGATGGAAAGGGCGACGCAGTGGACGACCAACAAGACCCAAATCCCTCTCTGTTTCCTCTCTTTCCTGCTGCCGCTGTCCCCGCTTCTACAGTTGCTACTACTAGTAGCATCCCCCAATGGCTTTCCAACCCTAGCTTCAACGCCGACCTTTCCCTCATCAACGACGCCGTTTCCTCTCTTTCTCGCCCCCTCAACGTAGAAGAAGAAGAGGAGGAGGAAGAAGAGGAAAAAAGCAAAGCAGGCGGAGAATACCCACCATTTTACGAGCTACTTGAGGAGGAGGAAGAACAAGAAGATTCTGATGGAGCGAAGTACGACGAGAGGAAAAGGAAGAAAAGAAGTAAGAGGAGGAGCAAGAAGAAAACGATTTCGAAAGAAATTGGTGATTCCTTATCCAAATACAAATCCAAAACCTCTCATTCCAGTGATTATTATTTTGATTCTCATCCAGATCTTGATAACTTGGCCTACGGCTCTCTCTACAGGTTCTCTTCCTCTTTTCCATTCATCATTATTTAGTTTTTGTTGCTTTAGTTCCTTAGTTATTTCTCAGGTAAATATTTAATTTTGTTTTTCTTAAAATAAATTACACCGCAGGTACATATACATATACATCTTTAGTTCTAGATAACACATGGATAATATGAAAATCAGATATTGCCTTAATCTCGGCATATTTGACATTTCATTTTTGACTTAATTGTTCCTGCTGTCACCTATTCAACTTGTTTTGTTTTGGTATTGTTTCTGCTATCTCCTATTCGACTTGTTTTGTTTCATAATACTCCACTAAAGTCGATTCCGATGAAAAGCATAGGCAAAGTGTTCTAACAGTTCCCTTGGTTCCCCTTTACACTTAAATTACTGAATCTGAAATAGTCTGAATTGGCTGTCTAACATTATTCTACTGCAGGATGGATGTTCCGCGCTACAAACTTAGAAATCCTGAACAATTATCTGGATTTATGTACCGTCGGACTCACAGATTTTCAACATATGATAAGGATGCTGATATTGATGCTTTGGATCCTAAGCTAAAGTCTGCTGGTCGATACTGGTCTCCTAACAATGCTGCACTTGAACACCATAAGGACTTAAAGCGTCTTCGTCGTTATGCCCCCAAAAATTCTTCAGATGTAGTTCCTTCTGATTTCATTCCTTTGTCTGATATTCAATCATCTCCTCAACGTGGTGAAGAAAGTTCAATCTCAAACAATTCAGTCATTGAAGAATCTTGGGAGGATGAAGTGCTACGTAAAACACGGGAATTCAACAAATTGACCAGGGAGCACCCCCATGATGAAAAAGCATGGCTATCCTTCGCGGAGTTTCAGGACAAGGTTGCGAGTATGCAACGACAGAAAGGTGTTCGCTTACAAACTCTTGAGAAGAAGATTAGCATACTTGAGAAGGCAACTGAACTTAATCCAGATAACGAACAAATCTTGCTTTGTTTAATGAGGGCCTATCAAAAAAGAGATAATACTGATGTGCTGATTGGGAGATGGGAAAATGTGCTTATGTTGCATTCTGGGAGTTATATGCTGTGGAGAGAATTCTTGCATGTTGTTGAAGGGGAGTTCTCCAGGTTTAAAGTTTCAGATATGAGAAAAATGTATGCACATGCTATCCAAGCTCTATCTGCTACCTGCAACAAGCAGCTTAGACAGGTTCTTAATCTAGTGCATTTTATTTTTACCTTGGTTTCTCTGGTTTTAGTGGCAAACAATATTTTCTTTCTCATGTAGTCAAGTAATGCCTGGTGTATGTACGTTGTGAAGTTTTTTTTTTTTTTTGATAGAAAGTAGGCCTCATTAAAACCTCCTAAAAGCCCTGTCATGTTATGAAGGTAACATGACAGAACAAAGAAGGAGGAAAAGAGTGCCATGAAACTTTTATTCACAAGAGCTAAATTACAAAGACTGAACAAACTCCTAAACTTTCAACTGAAGAACATAAGACTTAAAACAACCCACCTAACAAACAAGAAAATACAATTCCTACTATTCAGCACGATCATATAACCCCCCATATTTAGCTAGTTTGTCAGCTTCCCAATTTGCCGCCCTCAAAATATGCCTAAATATAATATCTTTTCCGGTCAAACTCGAAACTATATCCTTCACCAAGGATAGATGCATAGGGGGGGATTAAACCCGGATTCTGGATCCACTTCAGAGCGTTAGATGAATCTGATTCCAGGATAAATCTCTGATTTGGGACAAAATCCAACTCCTCCATAAGACAAATCCCTCTTTTAATTGCCAACAACTCTGCCAAGATAGGAGGACCACCCTCTACTGATTCAGAGAACCACTGTAGCAATAGTCCACTGCTATCTCGAACCAGACCACCAATACCTCCTTTTTCCCACCCCGAAACCATCGCTCCATCAACATTTAACTTTAGAAATCCATCCGGTGGAGGAACCCAACAAGCTGATTGATAGCAACCCTTTCCTGATCTGCCTGCCGAATATGCAAGTTTCAAATCACCTACAAGAGAATCTAAAGGACTGCCCACATCCTTGAAACGAGCACTAAATCAGGAAGCCACTCTAAATCTAACAATGAAGGATAATCTGACCAAATCCAGCTTTCCTTCTGAAAGATAATCTCATTTCTACATTTCCTGACTGACTGCATCACTGCCCTAGGAATGAATTTCCAAATCAAAGAGTTAGTCATAAAATCATCCCACAAAATTATAAAGTCCATGGTACACTTTGGAATCACCAACGACACATTCCACATTTTCAAGAAGGAAGACCATAGACCCCACGCAACGCTGCAATGCAGAAATAAATGGGAAACTGATTCCACCTCCCGACCACACAAAACACAAAGTTGATCAACAATCTCTGCAACACCTCTCTTAGCTAACTCCTCTTTAACTGGTACTCTTTGCTGCATTAATTGCCAAACAAACATTTCCACCCTTGGAGGAGCTAAACCTGTCCAAAAATTCTTTTCCCAATTCACATGATTCTGCTCAAAACGACCTTGGTCAAAGAAAGAGTTTATACAAGACTTTGCTGTGAAAGTTCCTTCCCCATTCCTTAACCAAATCCAACAATCATCTTCAGTAGGAAAAATGGAGGTATTATTCAACATAGTGATCAACTGCAGCCACTGTTCAATTTCCCAATCAGCCAAGTTCCTTCTCATTTGGATGTCCCACACCCAACCCGAGGCATTCTTCACCATAAACTCCGTCACTTTGCCCGCTCTATTATTTGATAAAACAAAAAGTCTAGGAAACAAAATTTTCAAGGGAACATCACCCAACCATACATCATTCCAAAACTCCACAGCTTCCCCATTTCCAGCCTTCAAACGCATATTCCTTCTAAGACAATCTCCAAAATCATCATTGTTGAAGAAGTTTTTCACCACACCTTTCCAAATCCACGATGCACAAGCTGACCGCGAATTCCCCAAAATAATGGAACTCGGATCCAGATTGTAAACAGCACAAACTACTCTCTTCCACCAAGACTTTTTTTCAGAAGTAAACTTCCATACCCATTTCCCTAGTAAGGCTCGGTTCATTAGTGCTAGATTAGGGACCCCTAGACCCCCCAATTTCTTTGGTTTAGTAACCGACTTCTAGTTGACCCAATGGATTTTTTCCTTGTCCATCGAACCCCCCCACAGAAAAGAAGCGATGATAGAGTTAAGTTTAAGTAGCACAGTAGCTGGAATTCTGAACATAGACAGAAAATAGATCGGTAGAGAGCAAAGCACCGATTTGACCAATACCACCCTCCCCACTATCGACAACGATTTGGCTATCCAACCACTCAATTTAGCATGAAATCTCGCCACTATAGGATCCCACATAGCAGCCGAATTCCTCTTGTACCCCAAAGGCAGTCCTAAATATTCCAATGGAAGATATCCTACCGAGCAGCCAATAACGTCTGCCCAAGTAGCTAACTCCCCATCTTCAACATTTACTCCAAAAATCCTGCTTTTGCCTAGATTTAACTTCAACCCCACCAGAAGCTCATAAATGAGTAACACTCTTCTAACATTCCTTAACTCGTGAATAGAGCCTTTACTGAAAATTATAAGATCATCCGCAAATTGAAGATGTGACAGTTTGAATGCTCTGTCCTGCACTCCTAATTCAAACCCCGAAAACAATCTCAAATCCACTGCTTTAGTTAACAACAAATGCAGCAACTCAGCAGCCAAGTTGAAAAGCATAGGTGAAAGCGAACATCCTTGTCTCAGACCCCTGGATGAATGAAATTTCTCCGTAGGAGACCCATTTACTAAAACCGAAATCTCAGCAGTTGACATGCATTGATATATCCACTCCCTCCGCTTATCACCAAACCCCATTTTGCTCATTATTTGTATCAGGATTTTCCAATCCACCGAGTCATACGCTCTCTTGAAATCCACCTTGAAGACTGCTCCCTTCAGCCCTCTCTTTCTCCAAAAATCAATGCTCTCATTTGCAGTAAAAGAGCAGTCCAAGATGTTCCTCCCCGGAATAAAAGCAAATTGGGACGGACTCATAATATCATTAATACACAAACTCAGCCTTCTAGCTAAGACCTTAGAAATAACTTTATATAGACCTCCCACTAGGCTAATTGGCCTAAAGTCTTCCAACCCCTTCGGATTTGCCTTCTTTGGGATAAGAGAAATGAAGGAAAAATTCACCTCCGGCTCCCACTCCTTCCCCACATTGAAATCCCTAAAAAACTGCATCATATCATCCTTCAAAATAGTCCAGAACTTCTTAAAAAACCCTAAGTTCAAACCATCCGAACCCGGAGCTTTGTTGATATCCGAATGAACAATAGCTTCCCAAACTTCCTCTTCAGAAAAAGGCTTCTCCAATGCTAAACAATGACCTTCCGAGAGCCTAAGAAAGTCCAGATTTAATTCCTTTGCCTCCAGGGTGTTTTTTTGATTATACAGCCTCTTGAAGAACTCCATCACTGAAGCTTTAACTGACCTAGGATCTTCTATAACTTCCCCATCAACTTTGAGGGCTTTAATGCAGTTTACCCTCCCTCTAATTGCTGCACTGTTATGAAAAAACCTTGTGTTCTTATCACCCTCCAGACCCATTTCAATCTAGACTTTTGCATCCAGATTTATTAAATTGCATTGATTAATTAGAGTAATTAGAACTCCATCTCTTCTGAACTGATAATACAAGTTGACGACTAATTCAGTACAAAATAATAGGACATCATTAGGTTCCAATGTATTGAGAATGGATTTTATGACTTGATATCTTTCTTTGAACTTTTTAGTAGGGTAACCTTAATTTTTGTAGACATTGCAGGAAATAACATGTTTTTACTTGGAGATAAAGGCTTCCAGTTTGTTAAATTTTTTTTTTATAGGAATAGGAGGTCTCATTAAAAACCTCCCTCTTAGTGGACCTTATCTGTAAGGTAAGGCCCAACTAGCGGAAGGAGAAAAAGAGTACCTCAATTTATTAATGAAAGCCAAGTTACATAAGACTTAAAAACACTTTTACATACAACATAAGACCTCACACACTCCTCTAGCTTCTAGGCTCAGAAACAGATACCAACTAAAACAGACAAAAAAATCACCCGATCCCCTCTTTTGCTAGCTTGTCAGCCTCACAATTACAAGACCTTGGAATCCACCTGACAATAAAATTTCTAAAAGAAACAATAGATACAATTTCCTTAACAAAATTTGAAAGGGAAAGAGGAACCAATGCTTGATCTTTGATCCAATCCACGACCAGCTTGCAATCACATTCAATAATGAGTCTGCCCTTGAACAACCATTCTGAAGAAACAAAGATATCAATGCCTCTTTTAACAGCTTTCAATTCTGCTAAATAAGGATGAGAAGGACCAACATTTTCTGAAAAAGAGATAAGTATAACCCGATTCCAATCCCTGAGAAGACCCCCTATTCCAACAACTCTCCCAACTCTACTAAAAGCCCCATCCACATTCAATTTAAAAAAATCTACTGGAGGAGGAATCCACCAGCACCCAGGTCTGAGTAGTTCCTTAGAAGCAGAGATACTATCTTCCAAGGAAGGATCACCAATTAAAGAATCCACCTTAATATAAAGGAAAGAGGATATTTTGCTAGAAACCATCTTGCTAGCCTTAAGCGAACAGTGAAAAACAGTGAAAGCTTGTCTAGTTTACCATTATCAAAGATAATTTCATTTCTGATTCTCCAAATTGACCATAGCACTACACCCGGAATAAACTTCCAAATAACCGAAGAAGGCCTCAAATCTAAGTAAGGAAAGAGGGTCAACTGGAAAAGCTAGACTTATACCCCAATAACAAATTAATTTATTCCACAGCTCCCACGAAACTTGACAGAACAAAAAAATATGCTGGACTGATTCATCACTTAGGTTGCACAAAGGGCAGTTAGTCTCCCCAATAATAACCCCCCTTTTCATCAATTCCATCCTAACAACAACTTTTTGATGAGATAGCTGCCAAAGGAAAGTCTCCACTCTTGGAGGGACTAATCCCAGCCATACACAGTTTCTCCACTGAAATGTATCCTCATAAACAGTCTCTAGAGATTTCCTGTACTCTTTGACAGAAAACAGCCCGTCCCCCAAGCCATCCCACAGCAGGCAATCCTCCAAAGATTCAATCATTTAATGTCTTTAAGGCTATTCAATAACTCAA